GGGAGAGCATCCCGCAGGTGGAAGAACTCATAAGAAAGCACGAAGACTTTGAGAAGACCATCGAGGCGCAGGAGGAGAGGTTCAACGCGCTTAGACGCATAACTATGTTGGAGAAAGCGTTCCAGAGGCAGCAGGAAGTGGAAATGGCTGCTAGACAGGCAGAGAAGGAGAGAGTTGAACGTGCTCGCCTGGAGGAACGAAAACGCAAGGAAGTACAGAGGATAACGGAGGAGAGGAAACGCGAGGAAGAGCGAAGAAGGCTGCTGGATAGTCCACATCGTGCCGTGCACGATGAGGTCAACGGAACGACTGATGAACACGAGTCTATTAACAAACTACCACCTTTGAAGACTGCTGCTACGACTGATTCAGGCCTGGATTCAACACCGATGCAGAAACCGCATGGGATATCCCACGTGTTTGGTGAGAAATTGAAAAGAACGACGCCTGACATTAAAAGAGCAGAGAGCATGAAGGTGGACACGAAGAAGCCAAAAAGAACGCCGAGTTTCACGACCAGGAGGAGAACTCAGAGCTTCAGGAAGCTTCAGAGGATGGAGAATATGGATGCCCTTCCTCCGGTTGAGATTCAGGGTCTGTTGGAGAGGAAACACGAGCTTCAGAGCGCTGGCAAGAAGGCGGCAGTGCGTTCTTGGAAGCAATATTACACGGTATTGTGCGGGCAGCTTCTGTGTTTCTTCAAGGACATGGAGGATTTCTCACTGAGCAAAGCAGCCACCGCACCCATCACCATTTTCAACGCCATATGTGAGAAAGCAGATGACTACACCAAGAAGAAGAACGTGTTCAGATTGAAATGCACAGACGGATCGGAGTTTCTGTTCCTGGCACCGAATCAACAGGAAATGGAGGATTGGGTGAACAAGATATCGTTCCACGCCAAGCTACCTCCGAGCATGCAGTTGTTGAGTTACGACGAGTCGCAGAAGGAAAGCCTGGAACGATTGCAGAATGTGCCTGGCGACCACGGCGACGACAACGCTTCAACCAGCAGCAGTCACGCGTCCACTCCTGAACTGGAGCGAAAGAATTCCGTGATCAGACGCGACGTAACGAACCAACACTCCGGAAGCAACGTGCAGATCGAATTCCTGCAAATGCACAGGCAAAATCAACAGAAACGCGACTCGCAGAATAACACTGATTTCATGGCTTCGCCTCAAACGCAAACGGAGTTCTTGCAGATGCACCGACAGCAACAATTAATGGCTCAGCAGCAACAGCATTTCATGCAACAAGAGCAACTGGCGAGTCAGAGGGAACAGTATCAATCAAATTCTGGGGACAAGCCACCCATTCCTCCGAGAGGAGCACCGCCTCCTATTCCAATGCGATCTCCCAGTTCAGAAGCTATCCCACAATACAGACGCGATGGTACTTAGCTTAATAAATTTCTTTTGAATTCATTGATTTAGAAATAATGTCATATACTGATTAAGAACATCATGCTTTTGGGGCTTTGCAGACATGGATCAGGTACAAACAAGATCCACTTTTTATCAACAGCGTAGTGCAACTTTGAATCACAATGGTTCCAGTCAGTATCCATCCAATACAACTTGGCACAGGCAGAGCAGCGTGGATCTTAGTACTCCGCACCAAGGTACCTCGAAAAGTCTTCATGATTCTATTTGCGTACACGTAGGAAATCCCTTGTTTTCATTGTATTGTCGTTATTTTGTAGAGTTAGCACCTCCCTTGCCATCAAGTGCCCCCCCACCAACCAGAATAGCTCAGTGGAATGTTCCTCATGATCCTGGTTAGTCAACTGTTGTTGTTAATTGTTTATCAACAAATCGCTTTGTTCAACCTTCCAGTTGTGTAATTTCTGTCCTAAAGTATCTTCCTAACAATATGTATTGAAAATGAAAATTTTTTGTTAAGTCAATAATTGCTATGAAAGCTACCAAAAAAGCCACTTTGAAAGGAGAAGTAATAAATTATCATTTTCTATTACAGCTTATGGGAATGTCTCTGTTACTTATGGAAGTGCAAGATCCAGAGAGGTAATTATAATAAAATAAACTGAAAAAAGAAACATGAAAGGAGCGCTATTGGCTTCTCAATGAGAGAACATTCGTGAAGTGTCTGATACACAAGAAATTCAAATGTGTTTGCCAATTGAAATTAGTTAGATCTTTACAAAAGTGCTATTGACCTATAATTATTCGTTTTTGTTTCTTTTATTCAGTTAATAGGAATAGAAGAAAATATAAAAAAAAAAGGAGATAACGTTAAAAATAAAAGAAGATTTAAAATATCAATACATTTTTTTATCTGTTGTAGGGTATGCAGCAAAATAACTCAACCTTCACAGGTAGGCCAGTTTCTCTACCGCCGTCGTACGTGCCTCCTCCGGCAGTTCCACAAAACCCTCAATCTTTGACGAACGTGGACGGTAGAAGAGCCAGCGAAAGTGGGTCAGAAAGTGAACATAGCGTTGGTAGTAATCGCAAGGACCGTGATTACAAACGAAGCTCTGTTTTAAGTAACCTGTTTGGCAGGCGCAAGAAACCTCAATCGTAACCATATCGACGACGATATTTATGCTTACGGAATATGTCTGTAACAAGCGTACAAGTTTTCATGGAACAAAGAGAAGATTAAACTGTTTCGAGTCAGAAAGGACACGTATACATGCTATTTTGGTAGCATGATAGATAAACAATTCCTGTAAATTATATATATTTTATGTACTATACAAAAATAAAACTTTATCG